TTCTCTGTACTTTACTATTTTATTTTTTATTTTTTCAAATTTGTTTTATTGATGTACATATTGTGTACCTCATTTTCTTGAACAAATGGAGATGTATAAAAACATATATGTATACTTTGTACCTTATCGCAAACCAAAATTGCTGTGGTGCAATGTTTTTTCTTGGGAGTTCTAACGTCTTTTTCATTATATTAGGTGGTGGATTCAATGTCAAAAGTTAGTCCACTGATGACGATTGGCCCAACAATTCCATCTCTCTACTTGGACAAGCGAGTCGAGAATGACAATGATTATGGGTTGAACCTCTTCCAATTAGACCCCTCCATGTGCTTAGAATGGCTAAGCCACAAGCCAAAAAAGTCCGTTGTTTACATGTCATTTGGTAGCATGGCCAATCTTGGTGAAGAACAAATGGAGGAACTAGCATGGGGGTTGAAGAGAACCAATTGCTACTTCTTGTGGGTAGTCAGGACTTCCGAGGAGGCTAAGCTACCAAAAAAATTTGTGGAAGAGACATCGAACAAGGGCTTGTTGGTTGGATGGAGTCCACAGTTGGAAGTGCTAGCGAGCGAGACAATTGGTTGCTTTTTCTCACATTGTGGGTGGAATTCGACCATCGAAGCATTGAGTTTGGGAGTGCCAATGGTGGTTATGCCGCAGTGGACTGATCAAACGACGAATGCAAAGTTTGTCCAGGATGTTTGGAAGGTAGGTATTAAGGTTAAGGTTAATGAGAAGGGCATTGTTGGAAGAGAAGAAGTTGAGGATTGTATAAGGGAAGTGATGGAAGGAGAAGGGGGAGAAGAATTAAAAAAGAATGCCATAAAATGGAGGGATTTGGCCAAAGAGGCTATTAGTGAAGGTGGGACTTCTGATAAGGACATTGATGAGTTGGTATCCAAATTAACTAACTCTTTGTGTATGTCCTCATCTTGAATTACATGTGTTCATAACTAATACAATATTGAGGACCTCCAGTAAAAGGGGAAGTTAAGAGTTCAATTCCCCATCCTTGCTATGAAAATAATAGTTTGTAATGTGAAGGTGTGACATAGGAAATTGTGTAAGCCGCTGAATTACTATTGAATATCTAATTCATTAGTGACATTTATCATTTGTGTTTACATTGCATTGATTGCCCGTGGAAGGCACCTACAATTTGTAATTCAAATCATTTATAATTCACGTATTGAGTATTGAAATATATTTCTCTATTTCGTACCCTCTCAAATTTCTAACTATTTTGTTTTTTGATCAGCCAAAAAAAAATCTTTATTGATGAATAAACATACATGGTATGATAAAATACATCAATAAAGAGGAACTTGGAGCTAACAGAAAGCTCCAAGCGCCAGTTGGAGAGGAACCAACAGGAAAGAGAACAAAAACTCAAAAAAACAGCCACAACAACAGGCAGAGGCAACTCCATACAACCAACAAGAACAAAACAGAGTAGCATACAGAGCAAACCAGCAAATAGCACAGAGCAGCAACCAGAAAATAGCTATATGCAGACCTCACCATAACAGATGCAACAAACCAGCAACATACCAGCCATACCAACCATGTTATTTGCAGACCAGCAACATACCAGCCATACCAGGAAATAGCTATTTGCAGACCACCAAAAAACCAGTTGCAGATCTCACCATAACAGATGCAATCCACCAAAAAGAACCCAGCAACCACAGCATAGCATACCACCAATCTTGATAACAGCCATTAAATGAAATCAATACAGCCAAATAGATGCAAAAAGCTTTTGACAATCTGTGCTTTCATTAAGCAGCGTACTGAAATCAATACAGCCCTTAATCCATACAGAAAAAACGACCACCAAGACAGAGACAGCCTTCCCAAACAATTCAGCTCTTAATCCATTTGCATTCCAGATGGTCACAGAAGCAGAACAACCAAACAGGCTAACTATTTCTGATCAAAACAACAAACCAGCCTTCCCATATAACAAACCAGCAGAGCAGATCATTAACAGAGTAGCAGATCATAACTGGTAGGTAGTAAATAATCAATGACAGCCCCTAATTTGCCTCAAATTCATAACAATATCATTAACAAAGTAGGGGAAGTTCTTAAGGGAGGCTTTAAGCCAAAAAGGTAATCTAACCTTGATGAGGTCCCACAGGTCAGCTGAGTTAGGAGGGACATCAGAGAAAATACACTCGTTTCTATGTTTCCAAAGAGAGTGGAGGACAACCAGGAGAGTGGCTCTCCAAAATTGCCTGAGAAAAGACTTAAAATTCACCCACATCCACCAGGAGAACAGATCTGAAACAGATAGAGAAATGCATCATTGGAGACCCCAATCCTGAAGCACAAAGGACCAAATGGCCCAAGAGAATGAGCAATGTAGCAGAATATGCTGGGCAGATTCTGGAGCAGAATTGCAGAAGATGCAAGAGGGGGAAATGTTGTTGTCTAGGATGCCAAGGTTGTGCAAGAATTCAGAAGTTTTAATTTTGTTTTTCCATGCCAACCAACCAAACAATAGGACTTTGGGGGGTAAGATGTGGTTCCAAATAAACTTGCTTAGAACTAGTGGAGGCCCAAGAAGAGATGTACTAAAGGAGTATAAGGAGGACACATTGAACATACTAGAACCAGCAGCCGCAACAACCCAAGACAAACTATCAACACACTCAAGTCTTAGAGAAGGAGCAGAGGATAACAAATCGAACAGTCTAGCTTCATCCACCAACTCCCAAGCATATAATGGTCTTCTATATAGGAGATTCCAATCATTAGGGCTAAATTTCATAGCATAAAAAAAGTAAAGGGAACCAGACTTGGCAGAGGAGAGGGTGAAAAGAGTAAGAAACTTGTTCTTGAGGGAGGTGGCACCACACCACTTATCATGCCAGAATTTGATCCTGCGGCCAACACCCACCTTAATTAGGCAATTATCCAAGAAGTAGTTAAAAATGATTCTACTCTGAGCCCCTATGAACATGATATCCTTCCACACCCTGGAATGTTTATAGGAAGTTTTCACTAGAGGAAGCCAACAGTTAACCTTTACCTTATATTTACTGCATATAACTTGTCTCCAAAGAGCATTAGTTTGAGTACCAAATTTTCCCCACCATTTGAGGAGCAGGCAAGAGTTAACATCCATAATCCTCCTAATGGCTAGACCCCCTTGAGGAACACTTTTTGTTACTTCTAGCCATTTGACCAAATGAATTTTCTTTTTTAATTCAAAACCACCCCACAGGAATGCAACCTCTAGTTTTTCAAAGTCACGAGCCACACCTTCAAGCATCCTAAAGAGAGAGAGATAGTACACAGGTAAGCTTGAAAGAACGAACTTAATCAGAGTTAATCTTCCAGCGAAGGACAATGTTTTCCTCGTCCATCCTGAAAATCTAGCTCTGACAGAGTCAAGTACATGTTTCCAAGTTGATTTCCTACCAGGGTTAGCACCTAGAGGCAGCCCCAAAAATTTCAAAGGTAAGTCGAGCACCTTGCAATTCAAGAGGTGAGCAAAAGAGTGTAGTGACTCATCCACCACACCAACTCCACAAACAACACTTTTGTGATAGTTGATCTTAAGACCGGATAGAACTTCAAAGCACCTAAGGATTCTTTTGATTATAACCACCTGTTCCAAATTTGCTTCACAAAAGAGGATAGAGTCATCAGCAAATTGGAGATGGGATATGAGGACCTTATTAGCTCCAACCAATATTCTTTTAAGAATGCCAAGATTAATTGCTCTGTTAAGAAGAATGTTGAGCCCTTCAGCAATAATATTGAATAGGAAAGGTGATAATGGATCATCTTGCCTAAGGCCTCTTTGCGGTGAGAACTCACTAGTTGGTGATCCATTCACTAGAATGGAGATACGGGCTATAAATACACAAGCTTTCATCCAAGAGATCCACTTAGACCCAAACCCAAAACTGGCCATCATGGAGAATAAGAATTCCCAGTTTATAGAACCAAAGGCTTTCTCAAAATCCAACTTGATAATTAGCCCTCGCCGTTTGGACTTCTTCCAATCATCAACTACTTCATTAGCAATAAATACCCCACCAATGACATTCATACCACCTACAAAAGTTGTTTGTGCCTCACCAATAATTAAGGGCATCACTGGCTTCATCCTATGCACAAGAACTTTTGCCAAAATTTTGTATAGAGAACCAACCAAGCTAATGGGTCTATAATCAGTCAGATTGATGGGATTGGCAAGTTTGGGAATGAGGGTAGTTAAGGAGCTATTGATACCATAGGTGAGCTTGCTGTTATGGTGGAAATCTCTAAAAAATTGCATGATCTCAAGCTTCATAATTTTCCAAATTTTTTTATAGCACAACAAGTTGAATCCATCCGGGCCCGGAGCTTTGTTACCGCTACTCTCTTTAATGGTTGCCAAAACCTCTACTTTCGTGAAGTCAGATACCAAGAGGAGAGATGCAGGGCTACCCTCAATTGTTTTGAAGTCCCCATCCAACACAGGCCTATTCACCTAACTTTCCATGAATTGATTACTGAAGTGACGGAGTACTTCTTACTTAACTCTGCTAGGATCCTCACAAGGCACACCATTAACTAGAATGGAGTTAATCATATTTCTACTTTGTCTAGAACTTGCAAAAACATGAAAATATCTAGTGTTTTTATCCCCCTGCAGTGACCAATTCAATCTGGATTTCTGATACCATAACCATTCTACCCTCCTATAGAGTTTCCACACTTCACCTCTAACCTCCCTTCTCATGCCCTTTTCTGGAGCAAGTCGCCTCCGCAGTGATATCTAATGCATGCAATTCATCTTCTGCAGCTTTGAGCTTAGATGAGACATTGCCAAACACTTTCGAGTTCCATATCTTTAGTTCCAGCTTTAGTTGCTTAAGTTTTTGAAGGATTATGTAACCAGCCTAACCCATAAAATTAGAATTCTGCCAACAAGTAGTAAAGAAATTAGAAAAGCTAGGATGCAAAGTCCAAGCGTTGATAAACCGGAAAGGTTTGGGGCCCTAATATCTGTCATCTTTCATCAACAATAAAGGGCAATAATCTGATATGAGCCTAGGCAAACCCCAAAGCTTCATGTTGAAGTGAATCAACCATTTAGGGCTAAGTAAGACCCTATCAACTCTGCTCCATTTCTGAGCCTCCTGAGCATTACACCAAGTGTATTTTCTACCATAGAAAGGAAGGTCGTTCAGTTCACAGGCATCTATAAACTCATTGAGGTCATTCATACCCCTGTCTCTCTGGGAACATCCAACTCTCTCTCCCATATGTCTAATCTCATTGAAATCCCCTCCCAAGCACCAAGGGAAAGGAAAGAAAACCTTGAGGTTGAGAAGAGCATTCCAAAAAGTGGAATTGTTGCTGACCTCATTAGGAGCATAAATGTTAAGCATAACACAATGAAAAGAGTTATACAATGTACCTGAGAGTAAAATAAACCTCCTGTTACAGCAGCTACCAGATAATTGGAACACACCAGGATCCCAGATGCACAGGAGCCCACCTGCTGAGCCTTCAGGGTCCACAGACAAGAACTCCATATTCCTATTACCCCATAGCCCCCTAGCCACAGAATCTGACACTATTACCTTCTTTGTTTCTTGAAAGAATGCCACATCAATGTGCCTATCTTTTAGGAGCTTTTTAATTCTACCCCTCTTCTCAGGCTTGCCAATACCTCTAACATTCCAAGATATAAGCTTCATAAAGAGACAAATACACACTTTGAACATCCCCCAGCTACTGTGCTTACATCTTAGCCTTACCCTCCATGATAATTCTTTATTTGTCCTTGAGTTCCAGATCAATGATCTTATCTAACACTACATCTTCTTTCCCTTGAAAGTTTATACCAAGCTTTTGCCCCAGCTGAACAGTAGCTGTAGCTTCTTTGAGTAGAAAGCTACAAGGGCTGGAACTACCCTCAAAGAGATCAGATTGTGCAAGGGCAGCAACAACTGGTCTAAAGAAATATCTAACTATAACAATAAAAAAATATCAATAAGTGTTATTTTCCTATTAGAATTCATTATCGATAACTAAATCACATTTATAAAAGGTTTCCAAAAAGTTGGTTACTTTATAGTGGTGGATTTTATTCCAAGTTTCTTATTTTATTTGAACAATAATTTCGTAAATAAATTTATTTTACTTAAAATTATTATTTTTTAATTGTAAAAATTATGAATACTATATCAAGAAAAAGAATTATAAACAACAATTGGATCCAAAGAAATAGACGTAAAATTTATCATATTTTTTATTTTTTCAAACTATGATTTTTTCTTTTTGGTTTTGTTTTATGTTTTTCAAAGTAAACAATCTAAAATGGCTAAATCCTATTAAAATTTTATCAATACAAATATTGATAAATTTTTCAATATATGAGATAGTCGATGAATCATATACTTATGTTTTTGTTTATCAAAAATTATTTAATTTCAAAATTTTGAAGTACTTTTATTATAAAATTATAAATAAATTAAAATTCTTTATAAAGTTTTTGGTTTATATTTTAATGAGAAAGATCAAAATTGAAATATATTATGGAGAATTGAACTTTTTCCAAACAATTTATAAAAATAAGATTTAATTGTCTATATTAAAATATGATAAGAATTAATAGCAATCTTCAAAACAAAATAAGACTTATTGATAATTTATTTATTTATTCCTTTTTTGGGAGTTCTATAAATGAATGGAAAATCAACTTAAAGAACTTTTATTTATTTATTTATTTATTTATTTATTTATTTATTTATTTATTTTTATTATTATTATTATTATTATTATTATTATTATTATTATTATTATTATTATTATGTCAATTGATAAGAAATCAATTACAAATATGAGAAATATTTATATTATCAAATACACTACTAGCTTATAATAATTAGAAAGTTAACAAAGTCTAATATAACTAATATACCAAACCCAAACCCAACAAATACAACTAACTATATACAACCCTTATAATGTGGAGAAATAAATCACCACGACAAAGGGTATCAAACTGCTCTCTATAAGAGTTGAACCCAAAATCTCACACCGCAAAAGATGTTACACAGCAACTAATGTTAAGCACATTACCCTCTTATCTTTTAAAAAAAATCAATTCCAGAGCCATCAAATCTATTAATAAGTGGCATTTTGAAATTATCAGGAGGTAAACAGTTACATCCTCTAAACCAATAACCAAGTTTGGAAAGCAGTTAGGCCCTTTGGTCTAACTGAATCATCTCTGTACAAGTGTATATATACACATTTATTCAATACTAGTAATAACAACCTAACTAATCCTAACTGTCTAACAAACTAACTACATCTTGTTATTATATAATATTCTCCTACAACCATACATGCGGTAATTATGATGCAACTGCTTTATTCATGGCTGATGCATTCATTATCTGATGCATTATCCTTAGCATTCCCCCACAAGATAAGAGGTGGAGAAGCAACCCTTAGCTTGGAAGTCAAAAAAGCAAATCGAGCAAAGGATAAGGCTTTAGTGAACACATCAGCAAGTTGATGAGACATACTTAAGTAACAACTGGTGAGCTGCAACTTTTTCTCGGACAAAATGACAATCGACTTCAATGTGTTTAGAGCGGCTATGAAATACTGGGTTAGCAGCTAAGAAGATGGCAGACTGATTATCACACCAAAGCACAAGAAGAGAAGGTTGGGGAATAGCAAAATCTGCAAGCAATATCTATAACCAAGTCAATTCGGCTGCTGTATGAGCTAAAGAACGATACTCAGCTTTAGTGGAACTGCGAGAGACGGTGGATTGTTTCTTCGAAGACCAGGAGATGAGGTTCGAACCCAAGTAAATATAGTACCTAGAAGTAGAACGGCGATCAGAGTGATCACCTGCCCAATTAGAATCACAGTAAGCTTGAAGCTGAAAATCACTAGGTGTAAAATGCAAACCATGTAACAAAGTCCCCTTGATATATCGAAGAATGCGTTTAACAGCAGAAAAATGGCCAACAATAGGAGAGTGCATGAATTGGCAAGCTTGATTAACAGCATAAGAAAGCTTAGGGCGTGTGATGGTTAGATATTGAAGGGCGTCGACAATACTGCGGTACAAAAAAGGTTGGTAAAATGGCTGAGAATTAGTGGGAAGAAGATGAGGTTTCAAAAAGACCGGAGTGGCACACGGTTTGCAATCTTTCATACCAGCCTTGTCAAGGATATCAGTAGCATATTTGGTTTGAGAAAGAAAGAAACCATAAGAGGAAGATTGAACTGAAATGCCAAGAAAATAGGAGATATGACCCAATTCTTTCATGGAAAAGGTTTTGTGCATATGGGTTAAAAGAGTTTGAAGGAAAGCTTCATCAGTACCAGTGAGAAGAATGTCATCAACATAGATAAGGAGGTAGGTGATAGAAAAAGATGTTTTATGAACAAATAAGGAGGAATCACATTTGCTTTGAAGAAAGCCTTGGGACAGAAGAAAACCAGAGAAAGTCGAAAACCAAGCCCAATGAGCTTGCTTGAGACCATAGAGTGCTTTATGAAGTTTACACACCAAGATACGATTAGAAGGATCAACAAATCCTGGTGGTTGATCCATGTAAACTTCTTCCTCAAGATGACCATGAAGAAAGGCTTTACTAATGTCCAATTGCTTTATAGGCCAATGATGATGCAAAGCCAAGCATAACAAGATACGAATAGTAGGCTGCTTGGCCACAGGACTGAATGTGTCATGAAAATCAATACCATGTTGCTGAAGAAAACCTTTAGCCACAAGTCTGGCCTTGTGTCGGGCGACAGTCCCATCAGAATTTTTCTTAGTTTTAAAAACCCATTTGCAACCAATGGATTGCTTAGAGGGAGGAAGAGGAACAAGAGACCAAGTTCCTTGCTGTTACAGAGCATTGTATTCATCAAGCATAGCTTGGAACCAAACAGGAGAAAGAAGAGCATGTTGATAGAATAGAAGTTCAGTATCAGCAGGAGACCGAGTAGTAGAGGCTAAAAGGCAAGTAGAGTGAGACTTAGATCGAGTGGTCATAGGGTGAACATTAGTGGAAGAAGGTGGTAGAACAGGCAGGACAACAGAGATAGAATTGATAGGCACTGGCAGAGGCAGTGTAGGAGAGACAGACGGGGAAGCAGGCTGAAGAGGTAGGGAAGCAGGCTGGGGTGGAGAGAAAGCAGGAGGAGACTGGGACAGACCAGGTTGGAACTGAGGGAGAACAGTCTGGGGCTAGGACAAAGCAATGGACACTGATTTTGGTGAAGACAGAGGAGAAGAGGACCAAAAGAAGGTCTGAATCTAAGACAAAGTAGACTGTGAGGACTGTAAAGAAGAAGAGGAAAAGGGAAAAGAGGTCTCATGAAATCTGACATGTCTGGAAAGGAGGATTTTACCTGTGAGAGGATTGAGGCAACGATAACCTTTGACAGAAGGATGATACCCCAGAAATACACAAGGAGCTGATTTGGGAGCCAATTTGTGAGGAGAATAGGGGCGAAGCCAAGGGTAACACAAGCAACCAAAGACTTTAAGGTTAGTGTTGTCAGGAGATTGATGATAAAGCAGTTCATAAGGTGAAAAATTAGAAAGAGTTTTGCTAGGAAGCCTATTAATGAGATAGGTGGCTGTGGCTATGACATCAAACCAATATGTAAGGGGTAAAGAAGAGTGGTGCAAAAGAGAGATGGTAGTCTCAATAATATGCAAGTGTTTGCGCTCAGCTACTCCATTTTGAGATGGAGTGTGGGGACAGGAGAATTGATGATGAATACCATGAGTTTGCATAAACATTTTCATAGAATGATTTGTAAATTCACCACCACCATCAGATCGTAAAATCTTAAGAGGGAAGCCAAATTGTTTTTCAACAAATGCTTTGAATTCCATAAATTTGGAAAATACTTCACTTTTGTAAGAAAGAGGGTAAAGCCATGTGAATCTAGTGAAATCATCCACAAACTACACATAATATTTGTAAGTAGAAGTAGAACAAGTGAATGGTCCCCAAACATCTGAGTGGATTAATGCCAATGGATTATTTACAGAAGAATTAGAAAGTGTAAATGGAAGTCTATGACATTTGGAAACAGAACAAGCATTACAATTCAAATGTGCTTTATTAACAGATGTAGACAAAGACAACTGAGGTTTCAGAACTTGAAATTTTGAAAATGATGAATGGCCTAAACGCATGTGCCAGGTAGTAACAGATGGAGCAACAGATATGTCAGCATCGGAGAAGGTGTAGCTATGAAAAACATGAGGTGATGATGATGAAGGCAGTACAGGAAAATGATATAAACCATTAGTATGCAAGCCTTTGTGCAGAATAGCTTTAGAGGCCTTCTCCTGAATGACAAAAGAAGAGTGATCAAATATAATATTGCAGTTATCATCTTTGGCCAATTGATGCACTGAAAGCAAGTTAGAAGAAATGGAAGGAACATGAAGAACTTTATCAAGACGAAAGGAATGGTGTGGTGTGGGCAAGATACCTTTCCCAGTATGATGAATGGGAAGAAAAGTACCATTTCCAATGGTTACTTGATCAGTGCCATCATATGGTTGATAAGAATTGAAGCGATGCAGATCATTGGTTATATGATCCGAAGCTCCAGAATCCAAGAACCAAGGACAAGAAGTCTGAGAAGAAGAAGCAATATCTGGTGTAGATGCAACAAATGCTTGATGAGATGTAACAGGGGA